GTGTTACGTATGTTTTTTTAAAAATATTTACAAACAAAATGTCATCGATTAAAAACTTGTACTATATCTCAAGGGATTTCGGTTTCTCTGCTTTTAAGTAAAAGTTTAAGTTTTCCGCTGAAAGTTTGTTAATCATTAAGCCAACGGCTACAGTAAGTGATGGCTCGATCTATACGGGTCGGGGCATTACACCATCTCTTATGAATCATCATTTAAATTTAAAACCAGATAAATTAAATAGAATAACATCAATCCCTAAATGAATTCAGCTTTATTTTGCAAATTAAAGCACCCCACAGCTACCAATAATTCATTAAACTAATTACCCAGCTTTCATCAAAAAAATTACACCTTGAAACTGAATCGCTCAGCATATTTCCTAGAATTCGACAAATGCAAAACATTAATATGCAAATATCATATTGAAAGGAACAGTAACCTTGGACTCCTCATCAATGGCAGAGACGAGATCGGATAAGAGGTCGAAGTAGAGAAGTGGGTCTGGTGGCTTGTGGGATGCTGAAGCCACTGTAGATTCCAGCTGCGCCACGAGCACGCCGAATCTGGACAAGGGCACGTTGTCTCTTACGTAGTTCCTCGCCATATTCAAGCGAGTTGGCCTGTGATCTGGGATGAAGAATTAACAAACGTAAAGGTGTTCCCGGGCAATGACAGTTTTGGTTGATGGATTTGTTTCACTGTGATCTCGCAGGGTGTTGGAGGAGAAAAGCTTTTGGCAATTTTCAGTTTTCGGAATAATGGTTTTCAGGGTTTGAAGAAAAAGAAAGAGCTCTTGTGTTTCTCTGTGAGGGAAGCAATCAAAAAGAAATTGTGTAAGGGAACGCTAAAACGTGCTGTGAATCAAAAACTCAGTGTCCTATATCCCACATCGGAACTTCGTAACTGAAGCATTAGAACTGATGGCTATAAAAGAATGGGCCAACAAATGCTTTAGAATCGTTCTTGACCTATCAATTATTGGGTTGAAAGATGTATAGTTCAAAATTTGTATTATATTTATATTTATTAATTATTAATAAACAATAAAAAACCGGTGGAACCGAATAAACTGGTTTTAGGTTAAAAAAAATTCTAATATGTAGTAGTACAGAGTCTTTTGCGTTTTCCATTCATTTATTATTAGATAATGGAACTTTAACAGACACAATATCAATGGCCACAAATGGTGGCTTAATTNAATAAAACTAACGGTGAAAAAAGATTTTCCGTTAAAACAAGAAATTCCGTTTCATAGGCACTTTATATATATAGAAGATGTACTTCACAAAATTCTCAAAAAGCTTAGATCCATATTACAAAACTTTCCGGTCGCTACTTTCTTAAAAACCCTACATCTGAAATTTCATATCATCATTTTGATTTCTTGATTCTGGGTTTTGTGTTGGGGTGTCGTTGATGGTAATGATTTATTTAGGATAATTGGCACAAAATCCTTTGACCTTTAACTCTATTGCGAAATATTTTTTTTGTCCTTCCAGATTGGCGAAAACCGTCTAGATAACCTTTCAATTGCAGAATACAACGTCTATTTTCTCAATAAAACAAGTGAAATGATGAATATTTCATCATCTTTAAATAAAAAAGAAAAGAAAAGAACAAAGAAATAAAGAATTAATTGCAAATAGTCTCAAAATGTTTTTTTTAAAAAAAGTACAAATGAGTCTCAAATAAATAATTAACAAATTAAATTATAAATAAATAAATTCATATCTCTCCCAACCACCCACCACCATCTCCATTTCTATTTACGCGATTGGGGATTCTGTTTCTTTAACAATTGCTGAATCCAATATTGATTTCAATAACCTTATTGAAAATCAACAAAGGGATTCTCGTAAATGTTGACAATAAAAATCAGATCAACGAATTCCTCACATCTGGTCAAAACTTTCGCCTCCTAAACTCACTCGTTTTTATGTTCAAACCGAAGTAAGAAATGGCTATTTGGGAGGAAGATATTTGAATATTTGCATGTCATTCTTCATCCCATGCAACATATTTATATATTTTCCTCAAAAGTCTTGGGGGCAATTCGATTATTTAGGAAAAATGATATATGGCAGCCATTAACTAACAAGTTTGTAACTGATTCTATTATAATAGAACATTTTATTCATTAACTTACGTGTATTGCTGTTCGAATAAAATCCACAAGCGTACGAGATTGTTGACAAGTAATAACGTAGTGAGTTAAAAGTATCATCCCATGAGAAATAAAGTCTAATTATGGTTTACTAGTTATTATCAAATTTGATAAGTATTGTAACACTAAATAGATGGTTTTTGGTTTATACTAATTGTAAATTACGAACGCAATAAAATTTGTTTTATCAAATATGTGGTGAATGAATATTCAATTTCTGAATCTGCCTATTAGTAGTGTTCTAAAATGTGTAATGCGTGACAATATGCCAAGTTATGGGCTAGGCGAGATTAGGAGAGTCATATGTATAAAAAAGCGTAAAAATGTATTTTCTTATTTTAATATTATTTTAATTTTTAATCAAATCAAAAAATCATTTAATAATTAAAAATAATTACTACCAAACATCTAAAACAAATTTATAGAAATTTTGCATATATTTTACAAAAGTTTCCAACAAAAAGAAAAGCTTCACATGTAAATCAACATTTAAATTTTAACTTAAAAGAATTGTAAAAAAATTAAAAAAAGGGATAATAATCGCGCCTAGGAGCAATCGTTGACCGCAAAATAAGGCCATATGCTACTTGGCTTAGCGTTTCCACCGCACATCGCGTCTAAGCCTTTTAGAACATTGCCTATTAGTGCTATTTCCAATTCTCAACCCATCAAAAGGTAGTATTATTTTATAATGTTAACAAAAATATATAATCCGATTTTATTCAATATTCTTTTCCAAGATATATTAAACTAAAGTTTAACATAACCTGGTCCTATTCTTAATCCAAATTCATATAAAAAAATATGCATTAATTCATAAGTTTTATCACACGAGATTGGACATAATATAACTATTATTCTTAATACGTATTGTCCTATTGTGAGCCTCCAGCACTACAAGTAGACAACAAGTTATCCAATTGGTAGCTAAGGAATTAAATAACAAAATATGAATGCATAAATAATCAAAACCCCAAGAAATTACTAAATTAATGAGCCATGATTGAATTTAACAACTAAGAAGGTTCATCATCCATCCAATACAAAGGAAGAATCTAGCCTAACATTCTTGTAATTAAATTACACAAGAA